AATCGTGCCGTCACCATCGTACAAAAAAACAGCATACCTGGTACTGTGCTTCCGAAAAAAACAAATGATCGGTGTGCCAAAATAAACGCCCCCTCTAGATCCTCATTTGGAATTGAGCGCCTCACTTGAAAACACCTCTCGGCGAATAAACGCTCCCCTAAATGACTGTAACAAATCTAATATAATAGAAACAACATAATTGTCAAAACATTTCATTAATGTTCTACAGTAGAATTATATTTTTTCTAAGCTGGTAGTGATCAATAATCTTTTATGATCAACAAATAACACATTTTGACGGTATTATGCGTTGTAGTTCCACATAAAGGTGTGTTTGAGTACAATACGTACCGGTATCCATCTTACACCAAATAATAAACGCCCCATAAAAACCCTTCTCAACAATAAAAGGTTTAAATGGCGTTTATTCGAATAAGTACAGTCAACTGAATGCAAAATAGGCTTACTGGAAAACAACGCAGTGGGACTGGAAGGCATAACCTAATCCTGTATTGATGAAAGCAAGTTTTAAGAAAGTTTAGTTGGAATTTAAGCCTACATTAATTCATCTTATTAATTACTATTTTAAATAGGCCTATGTTATACATTTTCTGTACTGTAATTTTGTTTATATATTGTAGCATTATTGTTTCACTTTATACTGAATAGGCCTACATAAATAAAATAAGTAGGCCTAAAAAAACAATGAATTGAACCACAATCGGTTATATAATATACTCTGGCTTAACTGACCGGAATTCGAAGTCAACTGGGTGAAAAATCAATCATCCAAATAATAATAATAATAATAATAATAATAATAATAATAATAATAATAATAATAATAATAATAATAATAATAATAATAATAATAATAATAATAATAATGATAGTGATGATGATGATGATGATGATAATTTATTGTCGTAAAATCTATGTACTATATTAGAACCCCACCTTTGGGAAACCACTATTAAGGGGACACTTTTTTTTGGCCATGAAGTGAGGGAAATGTATTTTTTAACACTACGGCCAACCCATATTCAGGGTACACCTATATTATAAGGCTACACTTTTTTCGGTCCCGAATGTGTCCCCTTAGGGGTTCTATTAGTTTTTATCAGTGTATTTTATAACCAATATTTCATTCTAATTTGTATGTGGCTCTAATCTGTATGTGGTCTAATTGGACGTATAAAAATACCCCATGCTCTATGTGGCTACGCAACTACATTGTCAAAAGAACAATAGACCTAACCTTGACACGAAAAGTACATTTCATCGTGAACTTGCCGCATATAATATACTTTTACAGGATATCTTTGTTCGTATTCATCATTTATAGGGAATTTATTGACTTAGCGATTGTTATTTATCGATGTATATAAAACAGATTATTATCATAATTACGGTTAGTTTAAACATCAATGAAGTATAAATGTCAACAATTTCATTAGAAGAGGGTCTGTTTATTATACGCTTTTCCTTTATAAATGTTGGACTTCTTATTCTACGTCTTTTTTATTAAAAAATCATAAAAAACATAACTCGCGCAACACAGACCTGTTTTCTCGTATGTGGTTATGAAATGGGCCGGGAGAGAGATGATGGTGGTGGTTGTGGGGGTTGGGGGTGAACAAAGGTGAAGCAGGAGGGCTCGATAATAAAGTGACCTAAACTGGAAAAAAAAGGTGGTATGCGGTAATTTTTAACTATACTTTAGCGTATTTTGTTGCTTTAATTTCCAGTAGGACGACTGGGTAAAGCTATTTATGAGTGAGTGGGTCTCCCGACCCCACCCACACACCCCTAGATACGCCACTGCCTTATAGCCGACCAGTGGTGACGCCAACGTCTGAAACTGGGGGGGAGGGGGGGCCGGGGGGGGGTGGGGGGGGGGGGGGGGGGGGGGATTCCCCGACGAGAGCAAAGAGGGCGTGGTCGGGTGTCGATTCCAGGGCGGAGACTCCGAAAAATAATATGACAATTAGGGGTTTCAGAGGCCTATTTAATCGGTTTTATATATAGGTAGTCTACTAATATGTACAAAATAGGCCTACATATAATTTTTTTCTCCCCGACGAATTGTGGTTTTTCTTCTTTTCTGGGGGAAAACTGGGGGAGGGAGGAAATATTATGGGGGAACCCCACCCCTCCCCCCGTAGCTTCTCCACTGTAGCCGACTCAATGCTACTAAAATGTTTTTATTCATAGATATTAATTATAATAATTATAATTAACTGTGAATGACATTCTCTACAACAGTTTTGTTTCTCTTTTATGACAACCACGACTTTTATTCATCAATCACATTAAATAGCTACATTAAATAGCTACAGTAACAATGGACCTTTTCCCAACCCGTGGGTCCCACAAAACGACAGTGTAAAAATGATACGCAAACACGTGCGTGTGTAGTTAAGTGGCTTAGCGTCAGAGGATCGTTACACGGATGACTTGTCAAATTTGATACAAATATTGCTATGGACATACAGTTTTGAAAAATCTGTGGAACAAAAAAAAAAAAAAAAAAAAATTAAAAAAAAAAAAAATTATTTTTGGTGGGGGAAAAAAAAAAGCATTTTTTTGGGGGGGAAAAAATATGGTTTTTAATACGGGTATTTTTGGCTATAATGGTGCAAGACCTACCTGTAGAGGTTTAGAATTTATATAATCATTATTTACTCAGAAATAAAAGATGAAAAAAAATAAAGAAAATAAAGGACCTTTTGGAAGAAAAAGTCGCTTTTGTAACAATCTAGATTTTAACCTTGTGCATGTATTAATATTACCTGGATGACAAAAGTGCCAAATTTGGTACAGATATTTTTGAAATACAATTTTGATTATTCTCTGGACCCCCTCCCCCGCAAAAAAAAAAAAAAATTTTTAAATTTTTTTTTCTTTCTTTAAATTGTAAAATTCGAATTAAAAATTTTAAAAAAGGAAGAAAATATGAGAATTTTTGGGACTAAAACATGGCATTTAAAAAAAAAAAGGAGTTTTTAACCTCGTGCATTTTGATTACCTTACGGCAGCCTTAGCTGCTTCTGTTGCGTCATCCAAAAAGACCTCAAGAGAAGGTTCTGTAACCCAACCTGCCAGGGATGGCGCCAGGGATGGCGCCAGGGATGGCCCCAGGATTTGAAGATGGGGGTCCGACGTTGGGGAGGGGGAAATTTATCCCTGATGTATTATGTTGATTTTACATTTTGAGGAACTAAACAAATTATCACTAAAATAAACCTTAATCATAGTAATTACAATCAAATTTGTTGACTGATTGGTCAACACATGGGTGGGTGGGTGGATGCGCAAGGTCATTGTTATTCTGAGAGAACATCTATCCGTGGTCCTTAATTATTTATACTGATTAAGCCTACTGGTCCTGTCATACTGAATAATCGTGAGTGCTCGTTTGAAGTCAGGAGACGGAAGTCCACTTGCGTATATGGATGTTTGCTTATGGAAAGAAACGCCTCCGTCGCCGGGGTGGGTAGGATTTTCAGGCTTGCCAGTACGTACTCTTCCTTTTCAAATATATGATGTGGTATCACACTCTGTAAAAGTATTTAAAAAAATGGGTAGGGCACTGGGACATACTTTCTTCAAGATGTTTAAGCAAATTATTGATGCTGTAGTAACAAAAGTGATACCACTACCAACAGCAAACCAAATATCAAGCTCTAAAAAGATTCGATCAGATTATGGCCAATCAGATTTTTCTAAAATCCTATTATTTCGCTAAAATCGATCCTCATTATCCCAAAATGCGATAAGTATAGGGCATGCATTGCATTTCGTTTCTCAGCTCTTTAACCGTTGATTTTTATCTTAATATGAAATTTGTTGAAGATTGATCAGCTTAGGTGTTTGCAGAGGTACAGTTGTAAAAGACATAAAATGTTACTTCTTCCGGTCCCTAAAAACACCCAATGAATAAAAATTCAATTCAATTCAATGTAATTCTTGATTCCACAAATGTCACTATAAAACATACTTTTCAAAATATGCGGAAAAGAGTATCCCCCACAAGCATTGCTCTACATGTAGGACCCTTGAAAGCTAAAAATAAAATACAAAGCATAATAAAGAAAAAAAACCAAAAAAACAATGATAAATGAGTTGATCTATCTATTGCTTAAATATTGTTTTTTTTGAGAATTTATTCACTGCATATATGAAAATTTAGGGTAGGTAAACATCTTAATGAATTTTGTCTATACTTATCTAGGTAATTTGTATTTAATGCTTTTTAAATGCCGAAATATTAATGCAATTTCTAAGCTTACTTGGTAAATAATTCCAAACTCTTAATTCATGCGTAATACTCCATTGTCCAATGTTGGTTCTTAATAGCGATATAAAAATTTTCTTTGTTTCTTGTATTATATGTACGTACATATTCAAAAGTGTGGAAAAAGTCATCAAACGCAGCTGGTATTGTCTTCTATAATACTGAAACATAAACAATGCAACATTTTTTTTGTACAAGTCAAATATATTAAGTGTTTTTGTTTTAATAAATAAACACAGAGAAGAATGATGAAGATGAGCCTTATAAATTATTCTGAGAGCTCTTTTCTGCAGTAAATGAAGACGATTTATATTATACATTACGGTATAATATTGAAAATTGAAATAGAATATTTACTAATTATGGGTTTCAGAAATTCATTATATATTATAATGCTCTCAAAAATTGTTGGACCTTCCGCACACAAACCCCAAACGCTGGACCCTAAAATTTCTAAAGGTCCACTTTTTAAAACCTATTTTCATTGTAATCATGTAAACATCTGTCGGGATTCAATATTTCGACGTTAATTATGTCATCATCAGGATTCATGATGTTGACATAAATAAATAAATAAATATATATATAGGCTATATATATATATATACATATATATATATATATATACATCTCTATATATATCTCTGTATATATACATACCTCTTGAGAGGTGTCTAGTATTGCTAAAAGTAGATTATTGAGTACACGAACGTTTTCGGGCATCGCCCTTCATCAGGTACGGTATACGTACAGATATAAATAATACGCATTATATTTATTTATACTTGTACACTTGAAAATGTTGATTGTGAACGACCCCTTATAGCACTTGTTTGATCAAGATTATTGTTGCTAATAATAGTTAATTTCAATGCATGTATATTTAGCGGTTTATTTCTTGTTAAATATTATAAATTCTGATTTTTTTTTCGCGTTGAAAATGTATATGTAAAATGTTAAAAGTTTATAATTCATTAAAAATTTCCCGGTGTTTATATTGACGAATTTTTTAACTTTTTCCACTCACGTAAATTATATTCCAACTAAAGTGTCACAAGTTATTGGTGCCTAGGCCTAAATAAGGCGAAGACGGTATTGCCGACTTCCATTTTATTAAATACGGCCTAGTCCTATATAGTTTCTGGTTGTGCCACACATAAACTATGCAGTCTTATGTTGGGGTATGGCAAACCCAACACTCCAAATCGTACCTATTAATTTAAAAAAAAAAAAAAAAAAAAAAAAAAAAAAAAAATTATTGTTTGTAAAGTCAACTATTATCATGCATCAATTCCTTTATTTATTTCTACTACTAGGTCTTTAAATATTTTTGACATCCACTGTAAACCCATTGCTATTTTTATGTTTTTAATAGGATAAAAATACTTTACCACAAATTTTCAAAGAGTGAGTGATATCCACAATCGTTTTACTAGAAGCAATGAAATGACCATTTAAAATAAATCTTAGAAGAATAACTCTTGGTTTAAAGTCCATTAGTTACACGGGAGCTAAACTGTGGAATAATCTTCCAGCCTGTATAAAACAATCATCAAATTTACATTTATTTAAAAAAAAGTATAAATAATCATTTTTTGAAAAAAGTCACAATAGTTCATATATAGGCATATTTAGTTTAAGTACTTATTATGTAAATACAACGTATGATTTTTGTGTTTCTTTTTCTTTATATTTATTTGTTTCTTTTTTAGGTATTTTATTTATTTATTTATTACTTTTCATCTATATTATTATTGTTATACGATATTTATAGGCCTAGTGTTTTTTTTTAAATTATAATTCTATGTAATTATTCTTGTTCAATGGTCTCAGCTTGAAAGCTTTGCTTTATTTGAGTTCCCTTTTCCATTAATCCTGAATCAGAAATGTACATTTCAGTGTTTGTTTTATTAGGAAATAAAGATTTACTTACTATAATGCATTCCAACGGATCTCACCATAACGTCCTCAATCGTCTCCTGGCTTTCAAAAGAACCCCCTTTCTTCTAAAGAAACCTTGTTCAATTTAGTCTAATTATTAGGCAAAGGCCTATCGAAATAATTTTTTTAAGATAACGAAATTTAATGCTTAATTAACAGCTCCATTAAAATATAATCAGTCTTTTTTTTCCCCTAAATGTAGTACCTAAACCCTAAATAACATAATTATATATGATTATATAAAATACAGATTTAAAAACAGCAAAAATAACGCACCCCGTCCTGTCAGTCCGATTCAATTCTCTAATTTAATTGTTTAAAACTCCTAGTTTTATAGTGGTATTGATACAGATGGATTCTTAAATTTTTGGAAAGTTGGAAGTATTAATTTATATACCTAGGCGGCCTCCGTGGTGTAAACAAGGTAATGACCTTGGTATCAACTATAGCAACTTATAATAACTTTATGGTATAAACCAGGCATCGAGTGTCGTAAAAACATATCTACCAAGGACTTGTCAGCACTCGTAATAGGCCTACTAACCACTCGCTAATGCCGCAGCCAATCAAACAGACCAATGATTTGGGATTTCCCCATTGTTGCACTGCTGTGTATACAATACCTGGAATTCTATTTTTGTAACCTTCAAATTTCCAAAATCATCATCATCAGTTATTCTTGCACATCATTTGAAAGAGTGAGGCCTAGACGTTAACATTCTGTGCTATGGATATCAAACTTAACCAATGTTTTTATCTATTTTATTACTTTACATAATAGCAGAGAATTTGAAGGTCAGTAAAAATTTTTTTTTTTTGGCAACATCATGTTTTAAGCAACTTATTAGCCTGCAGTGGCTATACAATGGCCTAGCTAGGCCTAGGCCTAGGCCTAGCTGCAAATACAGGCAGGGATGGCCTAGCTAGTGTGTAGAATTAAGCCTCTTCATTGGTTTGGTACTAAAATGATCTTAATTCCTATCTCTTGTTATCTATAGGAACTTAATTTAACAGCTGCGATCACATCTGGATTGATTGTGTGGGCGGGAAAGTTTAGGAATACATCTAGAATTTCCTAGTTAGTGGGGTTTTCCCGAGGTTAATTCTATTGACAGTAGGTAGCCTAGGCCTACAGGCCCGTGACCAATGCCAAATCCACTTTACTAGTTTACTACCGTATTAGCTGTCATAACTTTGTTCATTAACACTTTGAGTTAAAATTGGATCGGAGACAGAGGGTCCGGGGCATTGCTCCTGGAAATTAGCCCCGGACCGGAAATAACCTCTGTGGAGTTTTTGGGTGATCAATAATATTATTTTTCTTTCTTTCTTTTTTTTTTTTTGCCCTTTGAAGGGAGAACCAGTGCCTCTCCTAAATCCGCCGCTGGTAACAGACAAAATTGTTATTTGATTGATACTGCTATAACAAGGCGGAATTTTTATTCAGTACAATAATAAAAATGTTTTTTTGATATTTTTGTATTATACATTTTGACTGAAATTTATTGTTAATAATATATTTTTTGTTTGTATTATATTTCCATAGCAATTACCACGGACCATTGAGATTCCATGTATTATATCGGATACAACAAATAATAATTACAACATTTCTTTGCATTTTAAAAAGTCACTGTTTGTGCCTATAAGGATATTAAGGAGGTTTGTATCATGGAGGCGAAAGAAAAATATATAATAGACTTGCCCAAAATACAAGGCATTCCGTTACATTTTTTCTGTGATAAAATTGAAGAGGAATTTATTTGCACTGCTTGTCAAAGTGTATTGAGGAATGCAAAGCAGGCATCTTGTGGCTGTCGTTTCTGTAATTTTTGTATACCGTAAGTAGACAATTAATTTCTTAAATTATAAACTTTAAGTCATAGTTATTTGAAAATTTCAGTAGCAACTTTTTGAATACCCTCTTCCATGTTACAGGCAGTGTTTGCTTTAGGGTATGCATTCAGATGGCCAAACCAACAGATGATCTGACGATCATCTGGAGGCCAGCAGGAACGCTAGGTCCCAATCAAGACCCAGGGGGAAGCCCTAACAATGGTACACCAAGCCCATTGGCACCCAGAAAACCTTTGGCAAATTAAACTATTCTGAGATATTTTAAAACATCTTTTAAATACAAGGCATTCCGTTACATTTTTTCTGTGATAAAATTGAAGAGGAATTTATTTGCACTGCTTGTCAAAGTGTATTGAGGAATGCAAAGCAGGCATCTTGTGGCTGTCGTTTCTGTAATTCTTGTATACCGTAAGTGGCCAATTGATTTCTTAAATTATTAGTTACTTGAAAATTTCAGTAGCAACTTTTTGAATACCATCTTCCAAGTTACAGGCAGTGTTTGCTTTAAGGTATGCATTCAGATCGCCAAACCTGTCCGACAGATGATCTGACGATCATCTGGAGGCCAGCAGGAACGCTAGGTCCCAATCAAGACCCAGGGGGAAGCCCTAACAATGGTACACCAAGCCCATTGGCACCCAGAAAACCTTTGGCAAATTAAACTATTCTGAGATATTTTAAAACATCTTTTAAATCCATGTCCCCCTCCCCAACTTCCACCCCTCCCCCTCACCAAAAAAAATATATACAGTATATTTTTGGTGTGATGGGTAATGGCAGGACCTATGGAAGGACATTATGATATGGAATTAAGGAATCAGCTCACTTGTCAGTCACCAAAATTGTTTGCCCCTGACCAGACGTGACAAAATAAATTGTTTCAAACAATAAACAGCCTTGTGGAGTGCAGTAAACCGTAAAGAATAGCAATTGATGGCTCACTTTTTCTTGGATTTCATGTTTCATTAGTATTTTGACATACATTTTGTCCAGGGCAGTCGTAATTGTGGTTAGCCAATCTATGTTAGCATTGTAGTGAAAACCATTGTCCCAGGGATTATGCAATAGCCAGAATCACTCAAGCCTGTCTTTTCATTGTAAGCATGAATAATACCTGGGGACCAGAAAACAAACTCTTACCTCAGCCCTAACCATGGCGGGTCTAAGGTTACCTTAGATACTTTTGGCCCCTAAATGTATTGCCCTGATATCCAGTGTTATATCATAGACTAAAAAATGCTACACTAATATTTTATATTATTCAAAAATAGTTGCATATTAATTCAATATGAGTTGAAGTGAATTGTATAGCTTGGTGGTTAATTTCCTTGCTTTCCAATCCCTGGGTCCTGGGTTCAAATCCTGTCGCAGAAATAGGATTTTTTTTCTCACGACCAAAAATTGGTTGTTTTGAAAGGGATTGCCACTGAAAAAAATGATTTAAAATAGGGTTATTAGGAGGGGAATATGTAAGCCAGGTCAGTTGCTGAATCAAGCCAATTATAAGGTACCTAGATTATTTTGGATGTTTCATTTTAACATGCATTGCATTTGTTGACCCACAGAAATTTGGTATGTCAACTTTATTATAATTGCAGAATAATAACTTATATAAATTTGTTATGTTTTTCCTATTTTTTAGGAATGAAACAACATGCCCATCCTGCAAGGATCAATTTAACAAGGATGAAATTACGGACGATTTTTATGCAAGAAGACGCTTGCGTAAAAAGAAAATGTCTTGTTTAAACAAACACAATGGATGTGTAGCTACTTTTGAATACAAAGATTTAGATGATCATCTAAAAAATTGTGACTTTGCTATAGTAAACTGTATACACTTCAAAAGCGGATGCCGGACTAAAATTTTTCGAAATCATTTAACGAAACATTTAGAAAAAGAATGTGAATTTCGTTTAGTTACCTGTCAATATTGCGAGAGGAAAATTTCATTTAAAGACCTCAAGGTAAATTTCTTAAAATATTATTTATGTTAAATTTTACAACTACTGCTAAAAACACTGCATGTTTTCTTTGTACTTTACTACTGCATACCCATACAAAAATCTCAACATTTACCATGCTACCTTTGTCCAGAGCTTAAGAGGAAAGTGTCCAGAAAAATCTATCCAAATCATTTTTGTTGACACTTGCAGGTTACATCAGCAATGGAAAACTGCAAATCACCAATCTTTCATCACTTCGTAAATTTGGTTTCACTCTATGAATTTTTGTAGATTGCATGACCCTAGACACTGTCACATCTTTCTACAAAAGGCCAACAAGAAGAATCTACTGTATGACTCTAAACGTTGTGACTACAGTACATCCCAGTTCATGCACCCACTTTGTAAATGCATATTATAATTTTAGCTATTGGCTGCTGAAAGATATCATTATCTAATATGTTTTTTTTTGGCCAACTGTGTGTTTCCTTCCATCTTGTTATGGCAACTACCAACACACATTTTTAGATGATGATAATAATATTGATTATTAATTGATGGCTTGAAACTCTAGAGGAGATTTTGTGTTAACATTACAAAGTATACCCAAGATTATAGATGCCTCATTTATCATTCCTCAAAATGTACTTTGTGATTTGCTAATTCTATCGATTTAAAAAACCAAAACCAACAATTTTCACGAGTAAATTGAGCATGTGCATGTTCGGAATGCCGCCCTTTATGTGTAATATTGATTTAGCAAAGGTAACAATGGATCTGAAATTCCCTTTCCTGAACCTGTTTATTGGAACGCATTATAGGTCTACCTCTAAATGTTTCAACACTTTTTCCCATGACGAAGTATCTCCAAACAAATCATATGAACTTGGTTACTTTGAAGAGCGATTTGAGAGCACCCTGTAGTAGCAACTTTGTCTCTAGGCCTACTGATCAACTCTGTCAAATTCTTTGAGATTATTTTGTTCCATTGCTGGCAATGCACCTTGTACATCATCTGCAGGGCTGATGCTATAATGATTTAGTGCACTCATCTTCAAGAATGTTTACCTGGTTGGTCCCATGTGCAACATTGCCCAGGTGCAATTCATGTTAAAGAAAGCAGCATCTGTACACCAAAAAAAGAAAAGAAAAGAGATTAGGATGATTGTTTCCTGGTGCGTTTACATCAGAAGGACCTAACTAAAAATAATTCTTTGCATTTTTGTGGTGTATAGGCCTACTTGGTATACTGTATTTTATGCCAAAAAAAACCCAAAAAAACCAAATACAATGAACAATAAAATATGGCACACAATAACTTTATTCCTGTCAACTATGTCCTTCTTGACTGCAAGTGAAGCTGATGCACTTGCTTTACTCTTATGCGAATTCACTTGCATGTAGTGGGATCCAGGGTTTGACCAGAACACGTAAAAAAAATCTGTTTTTGCATAATGCATAGTCCATCAGCAGATGGCTTGTTTATCGTTCGCTTTGGGTATTGGCCAGTTTCTGATTTTTTGCAGTGTGAAGTTAATGCACAGCCAATCAGAGCTCAGGAAATCCATCATCAATTGTGAGCTGTTCAACATCCACTAACCAGTCAATGTCAGTTTTATTAGCATCACATTTCTATTCTTTTTGCATTCCGTGTAAATTTGACATCAAAAATGTCTTGTCTTCATTCTGTTCTCTCTAAAGACAGTATAATTTGTATTGATCTCAGCTATTCTTGAAAAACATTATTACATATTTTTTAATTCCATATTTTTTAAATTTATGAACTATTGATTATATTTTTTTTTGGTACAGTAAGGTTGCAATATTACTGTACTCCATTGTACAACTCTAATCAATTTTTTAACATTCGATCCAACTCATTGCATATTACACAATACAGTAGCTTGAAAAAAAATGTCCAAATCGTAAAAACAAAGTGAATATTGTACTTCACCAATAATATACTGTACTGTAGCTAAGTTAAAAGAGTAACAAAACAATAATCAGGGGTGGTTCCAGAATTATTTAAACGAGTGGGCATCCATTTCATACATACAGTAAAATAATGTGTGTAAAAAAAGACGGCAGTGACAAAACCGACCTGAGCCCCTTCCTAAATCTGCACCTGATAATTGGAGGACCTTGCATTTTGAAAATTTGTATTTTTCAAAAACATCTTTACAGTAAGTACTGTAGGCCTATTGTTGATGGAAGTGTTTCGTCCACACCATACAGTAGTTAATATACTGTATGTCAGGAGCGGATCCAGAGATGTCCAATAGGGGGATTGAACAAGGGGGGGGGCGATCGAATTAATACTACCCTGGGGGTCCGGGGGAATTTTTGTTTTCTACAGTAGACGCCCAAAAATAACCTCTAAAGCGTTTTGGGGGATAAATTTTTTTCTTTTTCTTTGTTTTGTTTTGTTTTTCTTTTTTTAAACCTTCCACAAGGGTGGTAAATCCACCCCTGTATGTGCTTCATCTATTCTTTTAAACTGTATCATTTTGCAGTAACATGAAATAATGGCTATGGGAAATTCCACTGTGTTTTCCCCATCTGTGTTTACCATTAAACAATGACTTGTAATGGTAAAGTGTAAAAGTGTAAATTATGCAAAGACAAGTCAAGTCATGCACATACTGTAGATTGTTTCCTATCCATCATTTTCGTTATTTTGAAATTTGTTGCAGCCCAAGCTATTTTCAGTTCATCAGTCATGATGTTAAAAACAGACATTCCGTCCGAGTGGGACTCATTCAAAAATTTGAGGGGGTTCGCTAGAAAACAGGGGGGTTCGCTAGAAAAGGGGGGTTCGCCCGAACCATAAAAACCCCCCCTGGCTACGGGCCTGGTCAATTATAAGTTTGTGAAATGTTTCTTACATACTATACTTTTTTTATCTCCACAGGACCATAGTTGTGAAAATAAACCTGTTGATTGTCCAAATAAGTGCAACTCAGCTGCAATGGCATCAGAAGAGGTACAAATTCCTATTTATGAATTTCTTTGCAACTGACCATATCATTGATAACTAAAACCATTATAAATCATCCAGCTTATGACAGATGTGAAAATGTGTAAAATTGGTGAATCAAAAAATTGTTTACATTCGCTTTGATTATCTTATTCTGATAGACAATGAGTAGCAAAAATATCAGATACTTCCTAAATTATGTCATTCTTGCAAAAGGAACTTAAAAATACAAATTCATGTTACCATAAATAATGAATTGGTTTGAAATTGTGATACTTTAAAAGAATTTAAACTTTGTATAAGTTATTCTAGAATGCATTGTTTTTTTCAGCTTAGCTTGAACAGGTCCTTACAATGTCTGATCATTCTATATTTCAATTAACATTTTTTTAGCGAAAATATAACTTTTCTTGCGAGTTAAAAAGCTCTTTTCTAGCGAGCACTCAAAAAGCTTTCACAGGGCTGGTTAATGCAGCGGTGAAATGTTTTTTTGTTTTTTTTTTAAATTTCAGTTGTTTTCCTCTTAGTTTTTTTTGTGGGGTATTCATAATTTAATAATAAAAATAATAACAATAATAATAATAATATCTATAATAATAAGTCAGACTTATATAGTTAGTTTAATTTAGGTTTTTTTCATTTTTTTTGTTATAACACATACAGTATTATGTGTTTAGTAACACTAACATTTATTGTTATTTTTATTCGTAAATAATAATGCTTGTAGATTTTAAAATTAGCTACAGTAGACATAATTTCTGAATTTGTTTCACTTTGTTTTTAACTTGAAGTGGATAACAACATATTTGATGTTTTTTAAAAAGATGTAAAATACAGATCTGTTAATAAGGAGCATTCAATTAGTACGGGACACGACGCTAAAACGGATTCACTCATGCGGGATCATTCTACATTTTCAATCATGTGTAATCATTCTACGTTCTGTGCACAACATAGATTTGGTCAAATTGCATCCTAGAATCCATGTGATGAGGAAAACTTAATATTCTCACATGAGCAGCTGACTTTTTAGTGACGTTATTACGTTCTACCTCCCACCGCTTCATGAAATCGAAGGCTCAATAATATCTTTAGACTGTCCCATTTTCTATAGCCTCAATTAAAAATATTGAGTGAGAATATATTTTTTTCTCACAAATCGGTTTCACAGGGCTGGTGAATGTAGCGCTGTAAAAATAATCCTTAAATTTTGTTTAATATTGATCCTTTTTAAACAAGTCATTAAATTTTTCATTTGAAATAAATATTTGAACATTTACCTGATTTTCAAGCAAGATGGTAAAATACATTATTTCTATTAATATCTTTGTGGTTATATGTGCCACAATAAAATTTTTTTTTTATCTGATACTGTAAGTGCATTAAACTTCATTGCGTGACAAGAATAACATGTGACTTCATAAGTTTATAGATAGATAATATGTAATATTTACTTTGATAAAAATAATCTCACTAAAGCAAACAAAAACAATTGTGAAGTGATTAAGTATTGCAGTAAACGTATCAGTTTCTTAGTTAAAGATCATTATGGTCTGCATGTTATCACTTGTTTTTGTTCTTTTTTTGTTTTTACTTCTTTCCTTGCAAAGACTGAAAGCAGCAGAAATTACCATGATTTTATGGTACCTTGATTCCCAGGTGTTAACAGAAAATATTCTTTAAAAGAGAATTTTAATTGTGAAACAAAACATTCTAGCATTTTTTCCGCATCATTACTAATTGAGATTAGGAATGGATCCAGGGTTGAAGATTGGCCAATCAAACATTCAATCAATTTTTTTTTTTTTTTTTTTTTTTTTTTTTTTCTTCCCGAATTTTATTTTTACTGTTAAGCGCATCATAATGCGCTATATAAGCCAAAATTATTATTATTATTATTTACTACTAACGGTCTTGCACTACTTTCATTAACTCTTGATCATGCTTTCACATTTGGCTGGGGAACAGTATTATATAAAATTGCAAATTTTTAATACAGTAGTCAAAAAAGAGATGATGGACTTCTGAACCTCTGTTCTACTACCAGTGACTATGTATTTATTTGTATAAAGAGCTGTTTTTGGAGGAATGTAATTTTTAAATATATTATTTTTAGAATTGTTGCTTAGTCAAAGGTCTATAGAATTATTTTTCTGTCCTATACAAAACGTGATCCGTTATATAAAAAGTATAATACGCCTATTATGATAACCTTTGATACCTGTGGGGCCCACAGTGTTTACCATACATAACGTAGGCATCTATAACAATAGAGATAGTGATTATAGCGTTGCCTGAACTACGACGAAAATAGCCTCCAACACACATACGTTTTGTACTTTAGAAGAAAACACCCCATTATAATGGAGTTTGAACTGTTGACTAGTTACCTCTAATGAAAATACTGCTGAACAATTCAAAAAAATTTTATAAAAAGAAATATGACGTCTTGTTGTTTACTCACTCTTTTTTGTATTAGTACATGAACATAAAGAGAGAGAAAATGAAAGCCCTGTAAAATATAACTCTCATGAATCGTAAATAATGGCAATAATAATCATCACTATTCATAAGTCAGATATAAATATCACAGAAGGTTTGCTAATTATTTATTTATAGGACTGATTGAAAATCCGTAAAATTCTAGTATTAGCACATCCACAGATAGAATTGATTACATATCTGGTTAACATGGGAACAACTATAAACAAAATGAAATTCATCTATCTACTCTCACCATTAATAGTATTCTAAGTAGATTGATTATTTGCCACTGCAGGGACAGCATATCTTCTATACTTTCTGGGTTCAACTGTTGGATTATGGGCCTAATTTACTTATTGATTGTTGAGATCCATGAATTTCTTTGACCTCTTTATGTCTTCCCAAGTGCTCTCTGGAAAGGAACTTACAATTAATATCATTAACAATTTACCACAGACTATCAATATACAATTTGAAACACAAGCTCCATAAATTTCACAGTTGCCAGGTTGGGAGAACTTGCTGGCATGAGAGTCCAGACCCATCTCAACCCTGTTCCCCCTGGTATCGTCAGCTGACGACCATCAGCGCAGTGTGTTCTGGGCTTAAAATGTTAATCATTGTACCCAAAAGCAAAATTGAAATTGGTAAAGATATATTTTTCATAGAAAATAAACTATAACAATTTCATTTAACATTGATTTGCTCCTTCAAAATCACAAGCTATAAATAGCATCCAATATAAAGGTAGGAAGGTTAAGGTAGCCTCAGTTATGAAAAATTAACAGGCCTTGTCGTGAATTAAAAATGTCTGCACTATTAATAATATTTTATGAATAGTATATACTACATGGTTGTTTTTATATTAACATTTTTTTCCATTTTAATTTCTGTTTTAGTTACAAAATCATCTAATAAATGATTGTCCTCTTGCGTTGGTTCCATGTGAGTTTGAAAAAATATGCTGTAATATGAAGGTTAGCTTATCAATTTTCATCATTTTTTCATGTCGTGTATTTGTAAGTTTATCAATACTAGAAAGGAGGTGGTGCACTTTGAATTATGTATATGCAGAGTCATAATAGATAGTAAGTGATTTGCAGTTTTGAAATACTGTGATTCAAACCTGTTTATCCAGTTATAGAAACATTGTAATATTACCTTTATGGACTCTAAAGGAAATGCTCAGTATTACAGATTGGTGATTGCGTGTAGATTAGGCCTATGGCGTGTCCGTTATTGTTATTAGCTATTGTTTTTGCATGCTCAACTCACCTTGACTTAGTTGACTATCAAGGCCTTATTTCCACTTTTCATTTGTTGGTTCCCATGCAACCAACATACATCATAAAGGCCCTATTTTAACTTTTCATTATGTTGGTTTCAATGCAACCGACATGTCATAAAGTATGTGTGTGCGTACATCCATGGATATGTGATAATTACGCTGAATTTTTCAAACAGATTTCTTTACATTGTGTTTAGTATCTCCCATTAAAATTTATATTATGATTTTATTTTTGTTTCAAATTTATAGCTATACAAATATGAACCAGGGACGGATTTAGGGGGGCCAGCCCGGCCCCGGCCCCCCCTTTTGGGAGGTTAAAAAAGGAAAAAGAAAGAAAAAGAAAGAAAAAAATGATAGCCCAGAATGCTTCAAATGTTATTTTCGGGCGTCTAGAACAAAAAAATTTCACGGAGGCATGCCCCCTGACCCCCTAGGTCATTGTTGTCTCGATCAGCCCAAATTTCGGCCCCCCCTTTCGGCCCCCTCTTTTGGGCATCTCTGGATCCGCCCCTGTGAACCAAAAGTCCACCACCAATAAATTGATCAGTAGGCGTGTATACAGTATTGTATGCAAATGAGTTGACAGTCTAGACTAGATTACTTGACATAATGACAATTGGAGTGTAGGTAATGCACGATCAACAACATGGCGCCACTTGGGGATGCAGTGGAATTTGAGTGTGATAATGAGTCGAGACTGATGCTGATTGCATTGTTTGCGTTCTTTTGCAGACCTGTACGAAGCACGAGATCCTGTAGACCAAACCCAGTACCGTTACAAATTTAATCGTGCAGGAAATATACTCATGATGCATACTTTTATATTTATTTAAACATAAACACAAAATGTAACACACAGTTGTTTTAAAGAAAAAACACACATAGTGGGAGACCCGTTTATGTTTCCGCTTTTCAACAAGGAGTATACAAATGGGTACCTGGATGTGAAAAAATTTGTAGAAATAATATTAGCTAGTGAATAAACAGCATTAACCCCCATGGTGTGGCAGGGATGTTAATTGCCTATTCTGCATTATTGATTCCATATCTAATGTGCAGGAATAAAAACCTTTGTGAATGAAAATGAATAGCGCTATATAAACATTCATTAAAAAATTCATGTAACGTGACCAAGTTTAATTCCCAAGAACTGCCCTTCAAATATTTAATGTGTCATTTGTTCATATAAAGCATGGGTTCACTTCAAAATGCTAGAGCCTTGGTTCTACAGCATCAAAATTAGGAATTCAATGCTACTAAAATTTCAAGGCATATGACTACTGAGCACCATACTGGTGTTTTTTACAAAGCCATTTTTGCAAAAAGATACAAAGAATATTATTTGCATTAAAATTTAAAAACAAAGAAAGAAAAGATTCAAAATTATAAATGTATTAAAAATGACAATTTAGACAAATTTAATGTGTTATTTTTGTAATATATTTAGTCCAGCTGTCAATTATTGTCTTTCAAAGGTATATAAATATCAATATATTAATGGTAGTAGTTCCAAAATGATTGATATTGTTTAGGTTATTCCATATTTCAGCCCCATAATAGAAAATATTCTTTTTTTATATTCAGGCTTTGGTTTATGTATAATTAAAATGTCATTTGACCTTGTGTCATATAATAATATATATTATATGTTCATGTTTACAAAGAGAAAATAAAATATAGAGTGTGATAAGTGAGTAAATGAAATGGAAAGCTAAATGGAACTGACAGTTGCTGGAGAACCAGGATTAATTTTGATGGAACAAATGTTTCAACACCTTTTTGTTCGTGAATTTTCCCTGCAGAGTGTCATGTGCAAAAATATCACACATACAGTACATGTAATAAATGCAGAGCTATTGATTAACTACCATGATGATTGATTTTAGAATATTAAACAAGAGTGGAGAAATAATGGTGGCATGTAGTTAAAATAATACCTTCAATTTCATACCTCTGAAGCTGCAATGTTCACTAGAGTCAAGATTTAGTAGAGTATTATGTTAAAATAAAGATTTGAATTGAATTGGATTACAGTAGTAGAATGTTTAAACTATGTATTTAAAAATATCTGAGAGGTGTGAACATCTTGCAATACTTTTTTGTTGTGTGTGTGTTTTTCTGGAAACATTCCAGCAACATCCATGCTTTTTGATATTCGCACATCTGAAGATTCTTAATAAACAATTTTAACTTCGAGATAATACATGTTTGAAATCAACGTAGAATTACTGGAAGCATTGTCAAGTACAAACGAGCAGGAAAAATGAAGGAAGAAGAAAGAAATGAAGGGAAGGATGAAAGAGTGCGGATGAATAAATTAAAGGAGAGGTGAAAAGAATAAAGAGAAACTATTGAAGAAAAGTTTAAGACATTTTTACTGATTGTGAAAAAAAAGAACTCTTGTTAATTGGCTTCAAAGAGAGTTATTTAGATGACAGTGTTGACAGGCAATTAGTAAAAAGGAGTTTAGTATGTTCAAAATAGCATGATTGTTTTTAGGAATAGGGCAATACATTAATTCAGTGAGATTATTTTAAAGAATTAACTTTGTGATTTAGGCAAGAAGCTTTAATTTGAAAATTGAAATAATAAATATTTTCCTCATAAATTAACACAGGTTTAAATTAAGTTATACTTTTAGTTATGACTTATATGCTTTAATTTGGCCATTCATTGAATTGTTGGTTCTCAAGATTTACCACTTCTGGTTGTCAGTCCGTTTAGGCGGAAGCAAATGTTAGAGAAAGGAAATTGAGGCAGACGTAATTACTGTACTAAGCTTTCATTTTATTCTGTCTTTGTGGCACTACCATATATTAACGCTTTCATGTTTTTTTTTATGCATTCATGGTTGATTGTTTGCGTGTGGTGACATTAACTGAAAGTGCTTTTTGAACCATGCTATGACAATAGACAGTAGGCCTACAGTAGTTAAGTTAACAAGGCAGCTATAAATTATTCAGTGCAATAGCCCTAGAGGAATGATAAAGATCAATTTATTGACTCAGTTATATGCATTCAGTCAGGGAAAAACCAGTTATGAAGTAAAGTCGTCATTGATGCTTAAGATGCTTGCCTTTTTATCTCAGATATGCCCAAAACCACCTTAAATATAAAATCTGAACAGATCTCGCTTTGTATATGAGTGAAGGAGTGGTCCCACTAAGAGGTTGTGGGAGAATTTGATTATAGAATGTCTTTAAATGCATTTTTCAGAGAGCGAGAAAATTAACAATTTTTAGTTTTTATTGTGGTTTTTGCTCCATGAATTAGTAAAATTGTGGGAAAATTTAACTGCACGTTCAATGATTTCAATAGAAAACACAACAGGAATTATGTCTAGGAGTTCCAATTAAGGCCTACTTAAAACTTTATTACCAAGAAAAGGTACAAAGAAAATGATATAAACATATATGTCCTACTGTGGCCTACTGTACACCAGCATGCAGCAATACTCACATTGCTAATAGTTGATAGAGGAAGTGACGGAAATTTGAGGTTAGAACATTTAACAGAAACAATAGGTTCTTCTAATAATAATAATAATATCTTGAATTTATATGGCACCAATTCAAAACAAGATCAAAGGCACAACGCATGTGAAAAGCCATCGGAAAACAAATAGGTCTTTTCTGTGACTTAAAGTTGCAAATAGATTTGGAAGAAGTTATGTAATTTGGAAACTGGTTCCAAAAAACATGCAGAAGCATAAGTAAAGGAACATAGACCGTAGGTTTTGGTACAGTATTTGGAAGCCTAATGTTATACCAGTACTGAGCTTTAAATTTGAATAAATTAACTAAACAAGATCAAACGTAATAATAATTTACATTAAATGAGGTTTGCCGTCATCTATGCATTGTATTATAAATATATGTTTGGTAATTTGGATTTATTAATGTTTAATTTTCCTTTAGGTTTGCAGGAAAGATTTAGAAGTTCACCAACAAGAATATATGGCAAACCACATTTCTATAATACCAAAAAAGTTTGAGGAGCAGAATCTGATAAATGTTAAACTCTTGCGTGAAAATGCTGATCTGGTATCGAAGTGCGCATTACTCAGCAACAAATACCAAGATGTGTCAGCTGAAAATGAGTTATTAAAGAATAAAATGCAGGCTATGGAAATTCAGATGGCGGACTTAAGGGTAATCAGTGTTTATTTGTTTCAGTCTGTATCAGTAATTACAGAAACATGTAGTAGGCACAAAGCAATGCTATGACTCATGTTGGGAAATTCCAAACACACAAAGGCTGAAAAAAAAAACCCTGCCAACTCACAATTGTGTTTTTAGTTTAATAATTTATTTATTATTTCGTTAAAATGCAGGCACTTTCAGTTTTTAAAATGGTACAGTTACATACAAGCCAGTAAAATAGAAAGAAACAACACACAAAAACAAAATTAAAAGGAAATGCAATGTAAATCATGAGTTATTTTATGTGTGCATTTTGATTGGCTATTGTGATTAAAAATAAATTTGGAAGTGAAATATGTATGGGCACCAATGTATCTACTACAACAGGTTAAATTGTACTACATAAATTATATAATCAAATTTTAAAATAACACAATAAGATATATATGATAAATGAGTCACATGGTTGAGATTTGGTCTTGAATGGCTAGAAAAAATAGATCCAGTGAGCATTTGCAGTTTGTTGGGAACCTGGATTTAATTACAAATAACAGTGTTGTATTAACTCAAAAAGAAAGTACAGTATCATCAAATACAAGTACAGTACCAAGTTATTCAGAATTGTTCATAATAATAATAATAATAATAATAATAATAATAATAATAATAATAACAAATATTTATATAGCACCAATTCAAAATTTGATAAAAAAATTGAACTAGACCTTATTATGTTAATTAACTCTATGATCTCACCAGATGCATCTCAATTCTTGGCGAGACCCAATATTTTATAAATTGAAGTGTTGGGTAGTGAAAAATGGTTGAGAGAAGTAGGCACACAATGATATTAGAAACAACAGCACATGCCTATTCCTCTAAGTTAAAATATATAAATATATATTGTTATTACTCATTGGATTACTGAAAGTATGCAATTACAAAATAACTTAGGAAATATTTAAAAATTTTAATTTAATAATAGAAATAATGAAGCCAACTTTACACACAAACTTTGCATTAATGCACTCATTATTGTAGTCTAAAGTCCCTGTCCAGGCTATAAAATTTTATTTGAAAAAAACATGTGACATGCCTAAATATGGTCATTATGGCATCACATCATGACCATATATAGGAGCATCAAGACTATATATGGGCATACAACAGTTTTTTGTCGAGGAAAAAAATGGGATAATCTAATCTGGACAGAGTTTGAATGATTTTAGGTGTGTATTTAATTAATTCTCATTAAAATTTCTATAGGAATGGGTAAAGGTTATGTTTAAGGAAACACAGAAAAGTCTTTCAAAAACAATTCAGCCGATAACAGAGCAGATTGCAATCCTTAGTGAAGAGCAGAAAGATCAAGCCATAGCTGTTCAAGAGTTGCAGAATATGAAGGCTAGGAATGGCAGAGAACGAGGAAATGAGTTAGCAGCTGACAGAAGAGGTGAACATGAGACACAAATTATGTGGTTGGAAAAGTGATGTTATTGTTGTTGATGATGATGATGATGATGATGATGGTATGTTTGGTGATGTTGTACACTTATGCCAACAAAGGAATGGTAATTGTGGTTCAAATGTGGTGGTGGTTGCAGTGGTAGTGTTGATGGTTATAATTGTTGCTGCAAAAGTGATGTCGGTGGTGATAATGTTGAGGATGATGGTATTTGGTAACGGTGATATGAAGGTGGTGATGGTGGCAGTGTTGAGTAATAGTGTCATCAGTAATGATGGTGGTGGTGGTGGTTGTGGTAATGATGAATATAGTAGTCATGGTGATTATAATAATGTTGATGATTTTTAGTGATGATATGGTAGTATCAATGGTGGTGTTGATAATTATGATAGTTATGATGATGGTGGTGTTTTAGATAATTATGATGATAATATTGATGGTGATGATGAATAACTACTGTACAGTAATGATGATGGTGATGAGGTTGAATGATGTAAGTATCGATGATGGTAAAATTGGTGATGACAATAACAATAATGTTGGTAATAATGTGATGGATGGTGGTGATGATTTCCTAACGGCCACCATTGAGAATTCTGACAGACACTACTAAGAATTCCAACAGACTCAGAATTTTGTACGGACACTACTGAGAATTTAAACGGACAATATCAAGAATTCTATCTAATAAGAATTCTAACGGACACTACTAAGTTAAAAGGTATCAACAGCAAGCCGGTTCTACAGTAATGACCTTGACGGCCCTGATATTTTCATACCTGTACCTCAAACAGATAATGGTGGCTTAGAAACACATGTTACGCTAATGAAAGTGGAATTGTCTGAAGTAAAAACGCGTCTTGCATGTTTGGAAGAAACCAGCTACGACGGCACGCTGTTTTGGAGAATCCCAGACATAGAGAAATCGGTGAGAGAGGCAGTCAGTGGAAAAACAACATCTCTGTACAGTCAGCCATTTTATACCTCACGTTTTGGTTACAAAATGTGTCTGCGATTGTACCTAAATGGCGACGGCATGGGGAGGAACACTCATGTATCATTGTTTTTTGTGATCATGCGGAGCAACTATGATTCATTACTACCATGGCCGTTCAAGCAAAAGGTAAGTGTTGGGATGTTAGGTAGTTTTCGCCACACGACGTTAACCTTAACTTTAACGTTAGTACACAACATGCAGCGCGATAGCTTCGCCCCTTTTGTAAACAAATCAAAATACACATGCGCAAACCCTTAATTAACGTACGTCGAGCACGTGAAATCCTGAAATTAACGTACTCCGCAACGCAAGATGAATAAATTATGACGTCATCCATTAACGTCGTGCGGCGAAAAACTGCCTATTTGTGTTGTTTTAAGGGCAAAGTTTATGCAGGAGTGAACTTTACGTTATTGTGGCTTCAAACTTCAACATTACCTCCCAGTCATCTGATTTTTAAGTTAACTCTTTACAGCTACAATTCCAAACTTGTGTGTGAACCAATTTTAAGCACACTATGTCTGCACTATCAAATTTTATGACAAATGAATGTAATAATGACTATATTTGGATGTAAATTATTACATAATCATGCCCATATATGGGCACTTTACATAGATTTGTCACATAAAAATGTGCAGACATAGCTTTATGTGTGTGAAAAAAAAAATTAAAATATTTTAAGTTTTGAATGTTGTGTTGTTTTTTAGGTGACTTTTATCCTATTGGATCAAGAGACTGGTCAGAGGAGCATGAGTGACTCCTTTCTTCCTGATGGAAACAGCAGCAGCTTCCAGATGCCTAAACGCCACAGAGAAATGAACATTGCATCGGGCTGCCCGCTGTTTGTCAGTAAATGTATACTTCGAGACCCGACTTACGTCAAGCAAGACACCATGTACATCAAGGCAATTGTGGATCCACTGCCTATATGGTGAAGTAAGTGACCATGTGGAGAGTACAAGTGGTTGATGTCAAGAAGGTGAACATATGGTGAAGAAAAGAATGTAAAACTTGATTGTAGCCAGCTGTTTGTATGTAGGGAGAATGCAGTGGATACTTTAAGATCTGACCACAAGAATCAATTTAGCAATTCTCAATCTTGCAAAATATAGATGCCGACTGTATATGCAAGTTGCGCCACGTTCAGATAAGAGATTGGATGATGAGAATGATCAGACAGTAATAACAAAAAACGCTGCGCCTAAGCCAAGACTAATTTTTTGGTTTAGGCGCAGTGACTGTGCTTTTAGTTCAGGCTGACACCAGTATGACTTAGGACAATCTACACAAGATAATGACACAACCAAGTGAAGGAAGCATTGCTACAATAATATAAGCAGGCCTAAATTTTATTTAATTTATCTGATGTTATCTTTGGAAAAGTATACTGCTGGGTTACAGTACATTATATACCACTTTGAAGATGTCATAACTATGTCATCATTAATTCAGTTTAAACAGTTGCATGTTTAAACTGACATTTTGCACCACAATTTACCTTTTCTGTCTGTGTGGTTTAATTTCCCACACAAAAATGTCCGCTGTTGAGCGTACATGTTCTATTGCGAACAAAATGGCATTGCAATGGTTGTTTTTAAACCTTGCACATTACATTTAATTCTCAAAATGAGTCTTGAATGTGCACTTCAAAAACAATCAGTCACTTGATTTAGAATCGTTAAAATAGTGCCAAGTTAGCGAGGGATATAGCAGGCCTAGCCTATGCCTCCTGTCGAACAGCTCAGAGGGTATTGATAAAAGGCCTTTTACTACATGTTATTTGTTATTAATTAGACTAGAGGGTCTTCTAGTTTCCCTCAATTAATCTGAAATGTGGATTGATATTCCCTTCAGGAGATCGAGGCTTTGATGATCAATGTTGTTACAGTATTTTTAGATTGGTAGGTTTCGAATCCCAGATGTTTATTAGTACCTCGGTTTTCTGTTGTGATCTCAGTCTTTGAAAGAAGCGTGATCATAATATAGAATATTATCTTATTTATATAATTTTGTATCAGTTCTTATTTTACTTTCACTCCATTCTATTTGATTGCCTATTGCATATTATAGAGTTATTGACCTCTTTATGTAATAGTTTATGGTTTATATAGCCTGGAAAATTTTGATTTAATTACACTTACACAATCAGATGGCAAAGGTCAATAAATTTGTCTCGTTTTAGAGGCTTAAAATCTGAATGAAAAATCAACAAATGTAAAGTAAAATCAACCAACACAAACAACATTAAAACCCTGCCTATTTCATCCACAAATCAGGAGAAATATACACTTTTCTTATGGGGTCAAGCAGGAAGCATTCACAAATTGCTATGGTATATTTATCATTTTGATGGTTGTTCATGCATGGGGAGGGGGCACCTCTTGAAAAGGTGTTGGAATTTTTAAAGTCCCTGGTAATACTTGGATATCAGATGGTTCCATGTGCTTAACAATGACATGTAACTTTATAGCTACAGTACCGATTCTAACACAAAGGTGATCGTGACATTCACTTACGATAGAGTGCACAAACATCAAAAAACTATTTCAACAAGGAAGCTGTCTAGCCCAGGGGTGTTTTTCTACAGGTTTTTTTATTCAATATCATAGAAAGAAGGAAATGTGAAAAACAAAAATATAAAATCATTGGAATGGTTTTGATTACCGTAAAACCTTGAATTGAAGCCCTGGGCTTTTTTTTTATCCTTTGCGAACTTTGGATGGGATTCTTTTCGAGAAGGCTTCTTTTCAAGATGGGCTTCTTTTCAAGACTACTTTTGCAAAGTAAAGAGGGGGGCTTCTTTTCAAAATGAATGCTGTAAATTTGTAAAACAATAAATAAGGGCACTGTAACATCAATCTGTATCATGGAGTGTATTTAACTGATATTAAATCCCCTAAACTACTGTATAAACCAAGCTTGTATATAATTTATTTTGTTTTCTGAAATTGATGTACAGTGTATGTGACTGTAATATCTCAAACAGAAGCCTATGCTATCTTGAAAAGAATACCATGGGCTTCTTTTCTAGGCTAATTTTGCAAACTAAACCGGGGGGAGGCTTCAATTCGACATGGGCTTCATCTCGAGATTAAGCCCACTGGGCTTAAATTAGAGGTTTTACGGTAACTCACTACTGTATCTATCTCTATCCAATTGAATGAAAAAATCACTTGTGTGTGAACCAATATTAAGCTCGCCCCACACTATCAAATTTCATGTGACAAATTTGTGTGGCATGCCCATATATCGTCTAGATCTCTATATAGCATTTCCAACACACAGTCATTTGCATATTTTTAAGTCAGAATGTCTTTCTATTGAATATATATTGTTGTGTGCATTTCATGTTTTTCTTGGAAATAGATTTCATTTTCTGAGATTTTCTTTATTTTTAACCCCAGGTTATTTTTAGTGCATTTATCTTAAATTTATTAAGTTTTTCTTTTTGTGCCTCTGTCTTTACTTATACCAGGGGGTAGTCATTACAGTTCACCCTCCAATT